AGCTGGCGGCCTCCGAAGAATGCGGTTAAAACTTTTGTGAGATCCCAAGTTTGTTTTGCGAGAACTCGCAAAAGTCTGTCTTAATTTTTTTTTCTCCCATGTACCTTGCGGGGCTCCGTAGTGTGGCATTTTAATGAATGCAGAACACCTGATGGTTATGTCAATAGTTTGAAGTGGTTATAAAAAAAGGGTAAAAGGTGAATGGCTGCAAATAACTTTTTAACTTTTTTTAAAATTGACAATTTATATTTGCATTTAAAGTTATGAAATATGATTCAATAAACATGTTTGTGGTTGTTAAAAAATATAACTTTTTCAACTCGGATTTTATGTTTTTTGTCTGATTTTAGATCAATTGTGTTAATACAGTATGTCAAAATGAAAACATAACTGTAAATTCAGACACGTAAGGATGTGCTGAAAAGATTGATACCAAACAAGGCGAAGTAAATAGTTTTTAAAGGTGAGGCAAAATCAAAAGTAGTTAAAAATGGCCAATTATACCCTGGACCCCAGAGGGTTAAAGAATTTTTTAAAATGCAATAGTTATTTTTCAAGTAATTAATTACTTTTAGTATCTTGTAACTCAGTTACTAACTCAGTTACTTTTCTGAAGAAGTAACTAGTAACTAATTAATTACTTTTTCAAAGTAACTTGCCCAACACTGCATGTGAAAGCGTTTTAATGAGACTTCTTCAAGAAGTCCTCTTCACAGTCACATATGCTCAGAGACACAACGGCGCCCCCTGGTTGGTGAACAGCTGCTTGGTGCAATTGACCTCAAACAGTACAGTGAAGCACTAAAATCCTTCTCATAGTTGCTTTGGTTACGAGCAGGTTGTCACGAAGATGCTGACCTGTCTGCAAACACTCGGAGACTCAGTGAGCAGCAGTAAAACATGCAGGATTACCAGTGGTGTCTACGGTGACATTCTCAGAGTTTTTGGGTTGAAGCTGAGGTACCGGGTGGTGAAACTGGTCAAGAGGTGCACGTGAGGATGAAAGGTGAATATAAGATTTATAACCACAGATGTCTGCACAGGCGTGGGAACGCTAGCCCGCAATAACAGAGTCACAAACAAAGCAAAGTGCTGATCATCTGAGTCAGAAAATGAAATGAGCAAGTGTTACTTTTATGTGCAGCCAGTTTGGTGGCAGGGTCGTCCAGGTGAAGTATGTTATCGGAGATAATTTCATTCTTTGGTTTTTAAGGAAGCTAAAACAGGCAGGATGCACAGACATCTGTGTGTGAAGGAACAGCATTAATCGATTACTCTTACATCAGGTCATATTGTGGTTAGAATAAATGCCCCGTGCTGCTGCGAGGTGGCTGTACGGGAGGCGTCTTGAATAATTTTGCTTCGCTAAATGTTAGAAAAGCTCATAATCGTATTTGGCGCCTTGGTCAAGGGCTTTATGTGGACGTGAAAAAACCATATCAGGCATATATTTGCGATTGAGCCTTGGTGCGCTCGGTGAAACTGAATTCGAAACGCTTGGATTATAGAATCATGCAAAACAAAGCGCTCTGTGACGAACGGTTGAATGTTTGCTTAATTCATTCCTGTTTGACTGATTTCAAACCAAGTTTTTTTTTCTAAACGGTTAAAAATGACTTTGTTTTTGAGGAAAAACTATAATAATATTTTCTTCCCCCGTCAGGTTTCGATGCTGGCCCGCTGTCACTGCTTATAAACAGGAAACGCATCCAGCAGAGATAAATAATCTTTCCATTCAGTCTTGTTAGTAGTGGCACGAAACATTCGCCTGCGGCGGTGTCTGAAACAATCCGACTCACAACCGGCCTCTTATCTATTCACAGGCCGCCCACGCCAACTGATCTGCTCGTTTCAGATGTGATGAAATTATCAAGCCTCGCTGGATTGCCTTGCTGCCACCACCACCACACTGGAGAGATTTGATTACTCAGATGTATGCTTCATGGTTCGAACTCACCTGATACCCAGCACATGGATGGATCTAAATCCAGGAAGTTTGTCAAAGACATGCTGCATCTGCAAAGGAAAGAAACAAACTTCTTTATACCGTCGTCACCCTCTTCCCGCTCCAACATAATCAGTTCTGGGCCACCAAACAAGAGCCAGCGTGTGAACATGCACAAACACCACATGAATGGGAAACCCCCATTGATATCTATCTTTGGGCGAGTTAAGCACCTGGACACTTATGACATAATCGTCTTTAAGAGCTCCATCAGGCAGCATCCCGCTGCGCCTGGCGTGACTTTAAAGGACCCAGCTGCCTTTCTTTAGCATCAGAAAAAGAGAAAATAACTTTGAAGGACTCGATTTCTCAGCAGGGGACTCGACATGACTCGCAGCAAGGAGCCCAGAGCAAGGAGACAAAAGGAAAACCCTCGTAGGGAGAGCGGGCTGGGGGTAATCTTCTCCCTTTCTCTGAACCCTGACCTCGCTGCCCTGTGGTGTAAGCTTCTTTACTATCAGCCTGGACCAGCAGTGCCGGCACAGACGGACGCTGATAGAGGAAGAGGAGGAGGAGGTAGGGCAGGAGATCAGACTGTCACAAGCGAAGCTCGTTCAGAAACTGAGAAATAAAGATTTAGTTCTTTGATTAAAAGTGCAGACTGAGCCTTATGCAGCAATGCAGAATTAACCAATCAGAGTTATTTAATTCTTCCGTTGCAGCTGTTGTAAAGAGCGAGACCCAGGAAGAACAAGGTCATTACATGAAGAGTGCCTCCCACCTCAACCCCTCAGAATCAGCTGATGTTTTTACAGCAACTTGAGCCCAGATCTTCCCCTCATATGTTGGTTGAAATGTGCTGATTTGTCATTATTTTTCCAGCGTTTCTCAGTGTTTGGCAGATATCCACAAGAAAGTGTCAGTGTGGAAAAACACGTTTAAACTACTTGTGTATGATATCCAGTAACCAGCTCTGAACATCAATGTCATGGGATATATCATAGTAAATAAACTGCACCAGTTTAACACAGAGGACTTGAAAAGAGTGCTGGTACCCTGGATGTTTGATATTTTCTGATAATTTTCTGAGGAAAACTGCAGAAAAAGTGAATTTTAAACGAGTTTCCACATGGTGGAGGACCCAAATGCAGACACGCGAAACAAAACTTTTAACAGAAAGCGAGCCGTTTATTGTGGCTGATAAAAAGTACAACCCAAACAGCTAGGCAAAATCAATTTGACCCTAAAAAGAAAAGCCTAAAATGAGATAACTAGAAAGTAAACATGAAAAACCTTGAACACGGAAACCTGGGGAGATTACGTAAATACCTGGAAGCACAAAACCTTGGAAACATGGCATGAACATAACAGATGACCTGACAATAAATGAATAACAACAGACTACATAAATACACAAGAGGGTGACGAGGGAAACGAGACGTAAACTGGGAGCTTGACACGAGAGACAGAGAGGGAGTGAGACATGACGGGCTGAAGAAACATACATGGATACACATGACAGACAGGGGAGACATGGAACAGAGCACAGGGAGGACACATATAAACAAGAAGGGTTGATGAGAAAACTGGACCAGACAAATGAAACTAAACATACAGCAAATGCTAAGAAAAACTAACATATTCCAAACACAAAGAATTCACAAAAAGACGATAACCTCAAAATGCTGGGTCATAATCACTTTGTCTTTTGCAGTTTAGGGAGCTTAGGTTTATTTTCCCACTTCTCTCTATTGGTTTGAGTGAGGTAGTTTTTTTTATTCTCATCAGTAGAGGTTGGAAAAAAAGGAATCAGGAGGTCTCACCTGGTCCTGCAGGTGTTGTGCTAGGTCGATGTACTGAGGGGAATCCGGGTCATCCAGCAGCTCTCTGTAACCCGGATCCACCAGGTCGATACTGAACTCCACGATCTGCTCCACCGGACTATCTGGGACGACGTTTGGAAGCTCCGGGTCCTTCACGACGGCAAACGAGACAAATGAGAGGCGCTAAAAAGGGACATCTTACGTGCGTCTCTTCGTTATGCTTTAACATTTTAATTTGCATTTCCAAATACATGAAACTGACTGGTATCAGAGAAAATAACAAATTTGCTTGTGTGAATAGAACCACATATGCAGACGAGAAAAAAGAAACGATAGAGTGGGAAATTCAGGCTGAAAGCTCTTTTTATGATTCATATTTCAACAACCATAAGGATCAAAAGGAAGTTTTCATACATCCAAGCACAACAGGAAATAGCGTATCTCTTTGTTTATGTTTGAAACTAAAGCAAAGATATTCCATAATGAAAGTATGAGGAAAAAAATGGCTGCAAACATGAAATAGGCTCGTACCTGTATGTTTAACGCTCCTGTAGGCCGTGAAAGAGCAACGAGCAACTGCTGCGGTCATTTCAGAGAACAGTCAGCAGCGAAATGACGCCATGTTCCCTGCACGGCTTTAAAGGAGTTTGATGTCAAATGTCAGCCCGGGCTTTTTGTCCTCCTCCTCTCACCGTAACCATGAATAGGTCAGTGGTGTGAAAAAGCAGTAATTATCTGAGGGGGAGGAGTGAGGCGCTTAGCAGCTCCACCTGTGCAGCAGGTAAACCCGCCGTCTGCAGACTGAAGGTCATGTGATCCTTCTCCAACAAACACAGCTGCCAACGTGCACATCTTTCAGGTTTTTGCAAAGCTGGCCTTTTCTTTTATTAGCAACTGTTTCACTGAAATGAGCTGAAAAGAAATTGATGTGACTAAAAATAAGTGCAAAAAACTTCACTGGCTGAAAACTGGCTGAGGTGTTAAGTGAAGTGTGAATGAAGTTTGTGCCTCCGTTCATCTTGTGTTCAGCTGGTGATTATCAGAAAACCTCCATCTGACGTCTGATGTGCAGTCGAGGACATTTCAAGAACAACCAGAGGAAAGCTAAAGGAAGCACGAGGACCACAGAAGAATTAAATGTAAGAATCTGTCACTCGATGGAATTTGACAAAGTAATAACTGATCCCAGCACTGTGAACAGGTTTTAAAAAACTAGACACCACCAGGTCCCGTGGATGTGATGGGACTTTCTCCTAAACACTGTCTGCTGTTGTGACTCCAGCTTGTAGTCTGTTGTTTCGGCTCTCAGCTGACTCAATCTTCATCCCTAAAATAATGAGACCCATAGCTCTAACGTAACCATGATGAAATGCTTTGTTTGCATTCTGGTAGAGATGCTGTGGAGTGAAGCAGAGATCTGATGATGCTTTGATGGGTCTGAGCTCAGCGTTAAACACCAGCCTCCCTCACAGTCTCCTAAACAACACGACACACAAAGGTGTGTATTTTTTATATAATTAAAAAACAGCAGCAGGTGGAAAGTAACCTGGCTGTTTCACTCGTGCAGGAGTACAGGACACCCCCCCAGGGTTGTGTGAGCTCTCTCCTTCCTGCAGTATACAAACAAGCTTGTGATTCAATTCTCAGATCATATAGAAATTCTGGTTGCTTATATAAGAGAGAGGGCAGGGACGCTGCTTTGGTGGGAGGGAAAAAACCAAATGTTAAATGTAACAACTGACCGTGGCTCAGGGGGTTGGGAATCGCATCTGTAACCGGAAGGTCGCCGGTTCGATCCCTGGGCAAGACACTTTCCCCTACTTGCCTACTGGTGTTGGCCAGAGGGGCCGATGGCGCGATATGGCAGCCTGGCTTCTGTCAGTCTGCCCCAGGGCAGCTGTGGCTACAACTGTAGCTTGCCTCCACCAGTGTGTGAATGTGAGAGTGAATGAATAGTGGTATTGTAAAGCGCTTTGGGTGCCATGAAAAGCGCTATATAAATCCAATCCATTATTATTATTAAATGAAACCGAGGGAAGATCGCTGATCTGAGATCAGGCGCTGACCTTGGCTGTCAGTTAAAGCCGGTTTGTTGTTGCCCCTTTTTTAAAGAAGGCTAACAGCACAGCGGGAGGATATTATTTTATAAGGGACCTATTGAATCTATTATCAGTTTTGGTATTACGTTTGGTAACCTGTCTGTTGAGCTCAGATCACAAACTCAAAATCTGATCAACAGGGCTGCAAATCTGGGCTCTGTGTGGATCTGATATCATGTTTATTTTAGGCCATGTGCTCCCTTGTTTGTCCGAGACAATAAAGTCTAATCAAATCTACCTTCTTCTTTTCCCACAAAGGGAATCCCGAGCTACTTCCTCCTGCTTTTCCTGGTGGACCCCAAGGCATCCCCAGGTCAGAGGCGATATAATCTGGGTGTGCGGATTTTATCCACTGCAGTGTTACCCCGAGCAAGCCTCTCCAATTCCCACTGAAGGTCACTGTTGACTGAAACCAGGAGGACATTGGAGGACATCAGAGGGCTGGTGGTTTACGTACCACAGGACCTTCGTTTTAGCACTTTGTTTTGCTTTGTTCTTAATCACCTTTTTCACCGTCTTCTTGTTTTCACACAACACTACACAAACGCTCTGGGAATAAGAATGAGGTGGATTATGCTGGTGCAGGAACCGGAGGGCTCACTGTTGTTTTGGCTCGGACAGACGTGAAAGAAGACAAAACTGATCTTTGTGCTTGTCTTATTTATCAATGTAGCGTTAAAAAAGAAAATCTTTGCTTGTGATTTGTCCACAGTGCGACGTCATCCCTACAGTGGGTCATACAGCGGGACAATGATCCCAAGCAACAGCAGATCTCAGAACGGCTGAGCGAGAAAAGAATCGAGGTGCTGCGACGGTCCAGACCTCAGCCTGACTGACATGCTGTGTTCAGAGAGCTGTGCACAGACAAATACTGCAAACCTCAATGAACTTATGCAACACTGTGAAGAAGAGTGGGCCAGAATCCCTCCACAGTGACGTGAGAGGCTGATAAATCACACAGAAAATGATTACTTCAGCTTATTGCTGGTAAAAGTGATTCTACTCCATCATCAGAGTAAATTAGTTTTCACAGGACTGGTTGAAGGATAAACCTTTGAGTTCTCAAGTACGGAGCAGTTAGTAAGCAGCTCTTAATGGGTTACTTACAGGTGATTACAGGTTAAGAAAAAGGACAGAGGGACAGAAGTGATGCCTTTCACTCAAATTAACTGATATATAATTTCATGAGCGCCCCAGCGTGACATTTTCAGCCTGTCAGACACTTGAGCTCCTTCCTCCTTCAGCTTCCTGCGGCAGATAAGAGCGCCAGATTGATACTTCGTATGTAAATGTAAGTGCTCCTCTGTACCTCTTTGAGCTCCTTGGCAGGGTGGCTCGTTTCAGGGGTGGAGCTTGGAGAGGCACTCGTGGAACTGAAGAAGACAGTGGTGCTGGTGACGAGCACTGGGGGCGCTGACGGGGGATCGGTCTGAGCCTCAGGACCTGAAGAGAGACAGGAGCAACATTAATCTCAGAATAAACCAACTACAATCTACCTGTATAATATATTTGTGTATACTGTACGGCAATATACAATGAAAACAGTAAAAAACTATCAGTGTATAAACAGATGACATGCATTCCGCTGAAGATGTCCTACCTGTGATCTCCGGGAGCTTCTGTGTTGGTGCAGGAGTCGTCGCTCCCCTGCAGAAAGACAAACACACCATGACACAAAAATTTCACATTCTGAAAGTGAGCAGGGGCATCAAACATAAGGCCCAGGGCCTAAAGTTGGCTGAGCCGAGACTCCAGTCTGGCCCCACTTAACAGCACTGAAAAATGTGAAGCAAGGTGTAAATGATTACGTTTTACAGCTTTATCATTACTGACAAAGACCTCCCACATGCCCATTCATGCTACAAGTAATTAGAAAATACTTTTAAAAACATAAAAGCTCCTGTTTATTCACTGTATGTGCTACAGAAGTTCCTGTTTTCACATGGATGCTATTTTTCTGTAATTTCGCACATTGATTTTTACAGTTAAAGAGTGCTTTCTTTCATTCACTTCAGCAGAATTTCTTTATTGTGTGGAAAAAACAGATGTGTTGAACATTGCACTTCTTTTTCTTATACTAGAATATCTCAGGGATTAGATGTGAAATTAAATTTCTTTGACATCCCCAATTTGGAGTTGTTGAAGAATTTGAAAACTACTAATGCACATCTTTGACTCATCTTTTCAAACATTTACAAACAATGAACATAGTTACAGGAAAACATATTACACAAACATATTTATTTGTGGCACAAAGGTATATGTTAGATTGTATAATGAAAACAGAGGATGATCTAGATAAGGATAGGATTTGATAAACGTTTGCGTTCTCCCCCTAATATGGTCACTTTAAGTGATTTCATGTTTGTCTTTTTCTGTATTAACATTTATTACTTATATGTTTGAGATAAAGATTTGATTGATTGATTGATTGATTGATTGATTGATTGATTGATTGATTGATTGATTGACTTCCTGTCACATCTCTCCTGCTCCAGGTTGGTGTATGTACGAATCAGAACATACACTCAGCTTCAGGCAGTTTTTTCTACTCGTGGTTCTTAATGACATCACAGGGAGAGGATATCCCTAATATGGTAATCTGAAACAGAAGCTCCACCCACCTTCTGTTCAGACCTTCTGTCAGAATGCAGATGGCTTAAAGTGGGAGGAGCTAAAACAGCTTGTTTCACACAGGATTAACTGAGGGGACAGCAGCGAGGCTCAGTGTGACATAAAGAAGGTTTATGTTGAACTGTGAATCATGCAAAGCTGTTCTAGTATCAGTAATGAGCACAGCTGTAAGACTTCCAACTTTATGTTTTACAGATGCACTGATCTGAAATTAAAGACTTTTTTTTTTTATATCCGTCAAATTTTTAGAACTCTATTTGGTTCTTCCAAAAGTTTCTTCCTGTTAAAAGGAAGTTTTTCCTTGCCACTATTGCCACTCTTGCCAAATGCTTGCTCACAGGGGGTTGTTTGGTGGGGTTTCTTTCTATCACTGTAGAGTCTTTACTTCACACTATAAAGCACTTTCAGGCAGCTGCTGTTGTGTCTGTCCTGTTTTTGGCCGAGTAACGCAGCTTAAAACTATGTTTGGTGTGAGCACCGGTAGAAAACGGCCGATGTTTGAACAAAATCTGTTTTACTTCATGATGAGGGTTACACGCTGATATGCATTTGAGTTACTTAATAAAACATGGCCATGCTGTATGTTAAATGTAATGCTAATCCCATATAAAGCAGAGTGTTTTTGGGCTTAAGCCTGTCCTATCCAAACGCCACCACAAACACAAAGGATTTTGCTTTTAAGAGGGAAGAAGGGCTTCTTCCAAAGTCTCAAATGTTTTACAGAGAACATTTAGTGCAGATGAAATATTAAAACCCTTCAAGTTAAAAAAAAAATAAAGGTCTGCATGTTTTTTAATCACGTTGAATGAATCTTGCATAACCTGCCTTGTACTTCTAATAAGAGTCACACTCGACTCATCATAACTTCATCTATCTTTCATGAAGAGAGCAGCAGAACGAGCTGAAACACCGACGCTCAGATCAATGAGTGAAAATGATGAATTAAAGTAATAAACTTCACTCTGCTAACAACTCACACGCACACACATTACTTTGTATTTATTCCTTTATGGAAGAGACACAAAGATCAGAAATAATGACGGTGCTGAGTCATCCACGAATGATTACAAACGCACAAAAGTGCACCTGTCAGCTCCAAACGGCACTCTCTCCACCGTGTTCGTGACATTAAAGCAACATCTGCACCGATGTGACGTTTCTCCCTGAAACATGACTCACTGACAGACTGCTCAGCTGAACCTATGAAAGTGATGCTTTGCTGCAAATCAATAAACACTTAAAATTTACAAATGAAAACATACATTTGAAAATCCTTTACTGTAGCACTTCAGTCCTTAGTAAAGATCCAGTGAGGAACCTTTTGATTGCATGTGTGTAATTACCCCTCAAATCTGCTATTTGTTAAAGGAAGTTATTTATTTTTCATGCTCCTCTCCCTCTCCCTGCACACGTTATGTATGGTAAGATGTTTCTGATACATGAATACATATTTTGAAGGAATCTTTCGATTGAAGTGGCAGAAATGTGTAGACAACAACAGAAAAGAACATAACGACCACCAGAAGCTCATCCACCGTTATTTTTGCCCAAGCTGTCATTGACGTCAGTATTGGAAACATGTCTGTAAATTTCAAATATTGCCAAAATATATTTGGCACCTGCAAAATTCCCAACCTGTAAATGGCCAATAACTGCCTGGAATCGATTAATTTTGCTGGCAATGATGGTGCTGAAAATCTGCTTCTCCATTCAATTCAATTCAATTTTATTTATACAGCGCCAAATCACAACAACAGTTGCCTCAAGGTGCTTTATATTGTAAGGTAGACCCTGGAATAGTACATACAGAGAAAAACCCAACAACTATATTACCCCTTGTGAGCCAGCACTTTGGCAACAGTGGGAAGGAAAAACTCCCTTTTAACAGTAAGAAAGTTCTGGCAGAGCCCGGCTCAGGGGCAGGTTGAGTGCTCATTGTTAAGTTTAACTAATGAATATTTCTAACAGCTATGCAAAGTTCAGCACGTGGTAAGACACTAAAATCGTGTTGGTTTGCATAAAACCTCTGAAACACGCCTCAGGGAGTTCAATCAGAACCACGATCCTTTTAACCAGATTACAAAATCTGATCTTTATACTGTAAACGTGTAAAATTACACAAATGTGTATTCATGTGTAGGTGTATAGTTTTCAGTGGATACACAGGATATCCTGAGTAAAAATAAAATGAAATATCTATAGTAGGCAGTGAAAAACAGGAACTTTTATGTAAGTGTTTTATTTAAGTTTTTTTACCCAATTACTTTGGTGGAGCATGAATGACCATGTGGGAAGTTTCTGTCAGTAAATAAAGCTGTAAAACTAAAAGTCCAAAGTTTACACCGTCTATCACTTTTTTCAATACTGTTTAATGGGACTGCATTATTATTATGTTTGATACCTCTGCTTTAGACATTTTTTTTTAAGAAATCACCAAGTTTTTAATGTAAAGCTGATTTTCGCTCTGACACTCGAATCATTTGTTTAAATGACAATTCTGGACTCCTGCGGGTTCACACCCCCACACACACTGTTTAATGGCCTTGTTTGTATCATATTCACATTATCAGTGTGCATGCAGTCAGAGAAGCACAGTGAGAGCTTAACGAACATGAATCATCTGTCAACTCTTACCGTGATGAAGGCCTCCTGTCTCTCAGCCGGTCCATCCTCTGTAAACCAATCAGAAACCAGAACAATTGTTTACTTTCACCACACATTATTTCAGCTCGTGTGCAGCTGTTTGGTTTTACTTTAACTGATTATTTGATTTACTTTTACACCAGGCTTCATTTAAAAAGTGCCTCTTGTGGTTTAAACCTTCATTTAGCTGCAGCTGTCTCTGAAGTTTTACAAACCTTCTGGCGATTAAACTTATTAAATCTCCACAGTATCATTTTTTAAAAACGCCTCTGAATGTTAATGAACGTTTTAAATGTCCAGCTCGCTCATATTCCCGGCGGTTTTGAGCAGCTAAATGCTATTAAAGCAGCTCTTTTCTCCTTTGCAGGTTAACTGGACTGATTCAGTATAAATCTCCGCAGTTTTTAATCTTCGTGCCGTTAATGTTGAGACTTTACAGACAGGACAGATGCTGCGGTGACGAATGTTTGCATGTTTGCTGATGGATTTACAACGCGGCTGCCGGCCAACAAACTCCAACCACCACACTCCTGCAAGTGAGGTGCCTGAATGATTTAGAGGGACTGATTCATGCTGGGATAATCAGCTTATTTGTTGTAAAAACAGCAAAAAATATCCTAAATTAAGAAAACTAATTAGCTCATTGTGACCAAAACATTTTAAATGGAAGTGAAAAAAAAGTAGACTTTAGGAAAAAACAGCAGAAATGACGCAAACAAACACAACTGACAGCAAAACATTAAAATATACTGGAAGTGTCTGTAGCTAAAGGCTCAGGTGAAAAAAAGAAAAAGAAACCAAAGAAAGTGAAGGATCTTCAGAAAACTGTAAATAGTATAAAGTAAAAACTGTCTCCATTCAGTTTCACTGTGATTGGATTAACATCAGGTTCTCAATTAAATACAGATGACAAGGAGCACTGCATATTTACTCCAGTTCACTGTGTGTCTTTGACTGACAGCGAAACTCACTCCGCTTCGTTTATTTAAAAGCATCCAAGACGTAACTCACGCCTTCAACATAACGATGAAAACAATGACAGGTTAGCTGGGATGAACATGAAACATGGTTTGCAGGCAGATGTGAAGAATCTCGTTCGTACCCGCTGAATCATGCTCACGTGCTCCTCCGAGTCGCTGAAGTTTTTGGCGAGGTCAGAGATGCAGAGCGACTCGTGCTGACACGTGTGAACCCATCGCTGGTACTCGGCCGTCCCCGGAATCCTGTCGAAGAAGATCCTGAACGCCTCCCACACCGCCTCCTGACAAACTGACCACAGGACCACACACACACACACACACACACACACACAC